TCCAGAAGATGGTAGAGGACAGGAAGGCCTGGAGGAATGTTATCCATGGAGTCGCGATGCGTCGGACACGACTTCACAACTAACAACAACAACAACAATAGTGTTACATTCCATTTAAAATGATTGGATATCAGTGACACAGTTACAGAAAACGCTGAACATGTGCAGTCCTAAGTTACCAAGTGATAAAAATATATTTCTAATTGGCTCTTGTCAGTTCTCTTCTTTTCTAATTCCTTCTTGGAATACAAATGAGTTTGCATTCCAAGAACAAAAATTGCTTAAATATTAAAAATGTTGACTTAACAAAATATAAACATAATGTTATAATTGTTATTGTTATGAAAAAGGAACCATTGAAGCAATACAATTCCTTCTCCATAGAAAATATGTGAATATATTTATGATTTGCCACATCCTGCTCTTGTTTTTCATATCACATTATTTCAGTCTTATAAGAAGTGACATATAATTTTACTATATAAACCCCTGTGACACAGTGCATAATGTCTGGTCAAGTAGTGAAATGAGAAAAAGAGTTTTTAAAGCCACGGTTTATGCCACATTATATTGTCATATGAGAATTCACCTTCTTTCCTTTATAGCAAAACAGGACTGGTACATTTTGTTATCTACTTAGCATTACTGCTTTTTCTTTTTGACATATTTAGAGTCCATTTCTGGTGCTCACAGGATAGCAATATAAAATGTAGCAGTATCGGTACTCACTGCAGAAGATTCCTGAAAATATTGAATAATAGGTGAGCTGTAGAGGAATGTTTGTTAATCATTTTGCTCACCTCTTTCCACAAACGTTTATTTGTATGGTTTATTTTTATCAACATATACTGAATTAAAAATTAAAATTTATACATTTGTAGAGGGGAGGACTCATTCTCATCAGATGGCTCATTCTCATCAGATGAATGGAAGTGGGAGCATTTGCAATAAAGGTCTGCCTTTTATGAAACCTTACTATTAGATTCAGTTAGCAAAAATATAGCTTTTTTAATAAAAAAAATGGCGAACAGCAGACATAAAACAAGTTAACTGACAAAACCAAACCAAAAAATAGGCAAAAGCAGGATAGGAAGGTGAGGTGAGGGGGGGGGACAGAGAAACAGACAGAGAGAGAGATAGACAAGAAGTGAAAGGGCAACAGACTTAATAATAATAAACCTACTGTACATTACAACAATCAATTAAAAAGGCTAACTTTTGGACTTCCGGTTTTTCATCGTAACGCGACCGAGGGATTGCAGAGCTCCACACCCCATGGCTGGTTTTGCCCTGCCTGGAACCCTAAATGTGTCTAAGACTCCAGATGGAATACTACATGTCTAAACACTTGTTTGAATATGGTTAAAAGAATAGTCAAATTTTGGAGATGAAAAAGTTTTATAGTAAGAGAGATGTGACTTATAAGTAGTGTAGTATTTTTTTTCCATGATATGGGAAATGTAAAAATATTGGGATGATTTAAGTGTATGAAATATTTTGAATATTTAAATGTAATAAATTTTGAGAAAACTATAACTGACAAGAAATGTTTTGAATACTGAGGGGAAACTAAGCTTAAATAAGAGCTATGAAAACAGGACTTATAGTAATTTACATAAGATGATTTTTTGCAAATGCAAATGTAAAATAAGCTGATTAGAAAAGGCATTACGTACTGATGTTATTGTTAAATACTAGAAAAATGTTTATATTGAACTTCATATGTATCGATAGTATTAAGAACTATATTTGCTCAATGTTGGTAAAAGGAGAATACTATTGGAAGAAGAGAAGATCAAGGAAAGATATTTCTAGTTAGCATGTTGATTATGAAAGCATCGAAATTAACTATTATTGACTATTGTTAAATATATGAACCCAGACAACACATTGTTTACTAAGCACTAAAGTCTGTTATTCTAAAAAATCAATAAAAATATTAAAAAATAAAAATAAAAAGGCTAACTTTCCAGAGCCACTGGCAACAATACTGTGGGTAATTAGCATGGGCAGTTCCTTTTTATGTACATAACAGCAGTAGAATAGAGAGAGAAATAGTACACAAGGTGATCTCTGCTCTGCTCCATGAAAGGAAATATTTAGTTGCTGCTGAACATGTATCCAGCAGAACTACTTATAATCTATTATGCCATTGGAACAGAACAGAACAGAACAGAATAATAATAGCGTTGGAAAGGACCTCAGAGGTCTCCTAGTCCAATCCCCTGCTTGAATAGGAGACCCTATATCATTTCAGATACATGGTTGTCCAGTCTCTTTTTGAAACTTCTGAAGGCAAGTTATTCCATTGGTTAATTGCTTTCACCATTAGGAAATTTCTCCTTAGTTCTAGGTTGCTTCTCTCCTTGGTTAGTTTCTAACCATTGTTTCTTGTCTTGCCTATTGGTGCTTTGGAAAATAATTTGATCCCCTCATCTTTGTAGGAGCCCCTCAAATATTGGAACAGTGCTATCATATCTCCCGTAGTCCTTCTTTTCATTAGACTAGACATATCCAATTCCTGTTAATGTTCTTCATATGTTTTAGCCTCCAGCCCCCTAATCATTTGTGTTGCTCTTCTTGCTATCTTTCTAGAGACTCAACATCTTTTTTGCGGTGACCAGAATTGGATGCAGTATTCCAAGTGTGGTCTTGCTAAAGCTTTGTAAAGCAGTACTAGAACTTCACGTGATCTTGATTCTATGCCTCTATTAATGCAGCCCAGGACTGCATTGTATCCCACTTCTCAAATCTGATGCTTTTCAAATGTGGTCAAAAGAGTAGATAGAAATAATAAACATAATAGAGTCTCTCTTGCCTTTATAATTATCATAAAATGCACAGCCTATGTGTAAGAGCTTGAGATAAAAATAATTTGCTGCAGACTGCTCAGCAGCTTTGCACTTTCCTAATATTTCTGCTCACTTATTAATGTGAAAAGGCAAAATAGAAACTATAAATGTTCCACATTGTAACACAACCTACATTTTACTGTGATCAGAAATCAATGTTGGTATTATAAAAAAATTGCACATGGAGGTCACACACATAAGTATAATGTGTTCCATTAGCAACCAATGTGTTCATTTTAAATTGCTTATTTAGACAGGTCTGTTCGTGGATGACAATTTGAGCAAATATAGCTTTTGCTGGAAAATCTATACAGCAGCAAATGATACAACTGATAGAATTCTACCCTGTATTACTGTCATGGTCCCCCTTGTTAACCAATAAATATTTGAAAGGCAATCTTGGATTTCTGCAGTTAAAGAGAACAAGGAACATTAAAAATAGGCACAAATCAGGTATGTCTCTAATAATGTGGGATGTTTTAGAGAGTTATATAAACAACAAAACCATTTAGGTGTATTATAGACAATAGAATTCAATATGCAGGTAACATGATGGTAAACAATATGAAGAAGAGCATTGCAGTCAAGACATTTTTTTTACATCTCTAGACATTTCCTTGCTATTATATGATTCTAAATATGATGGAGGTTTGACTGTATACAGTATATAGTTTCTTATTACTATTGATATAAAATAAACTTCCCTGAGCTCCAGTAACATTAATGTTTCTTCCACCTATAGTGTATGAAATTCCTTTCTTCCTTTTTCAAACTCTCCGTTACAATTTGTTTCTTTTGCTAATTGAAGTAACCATTGCTAGTTATGGTAAATTCTATGCGATGAGCTGCTCTGAAGTTGAAGCATTTGTTATAAATGGCTTTGTCAGGGGAAAAAAAAACACACCAGTATTTGCAGGGTAGCCCAGGGCAGAAAAAGTGCTTTCATTTGGATTAAAGCTCACATTTAACATTAGAAATAGAAGTATATTTGTGTAAGTCCAAACCTATGGACTTGAAAGAAATATGGAAGATCTTAATGAAGATATTGTTGAACTCAGCAGATATTGTTGTACTCAAGCTCAGGAATCTGAGAAAACAGTAGGTGAAGGATCAGGAAAATTCTAGTGAAGATAGGTCATAGATACTTCGGGCTGCGGTTCTCAATTTACTTGTCATTAGTCAAGTAAATTGACTCTTGATTGGAAATAAAATCCAAAACATCTGAAAAGCTGTTTTGAAGAATTGCCCTGGTGCACTAAGATAAAAAAAGACAGCTATGACTGCATTCAGTGCTATGGGCAGTTCTGATCAGTGGTGGGATTCAGCCAGTTTGCACCAGTTCGGCAGAACCGGTAGCTAATTTTTTGTTGCCCAGGCCCAGAATGGACTTCCGGAAGTGGCATCCACACAGAGAACCGGTTGTTCATATATTTGAATCCCACCGCTGGTTCTGATCCAGATTTTATTTAGGACTCAAATACTCTCTAAATCTTCTTTGGCTTAGATATGAGAGATAGTCAGTTTAGTTTCAGTTTAAGAACTACAGCATTAAACTACAATCAAGCTATACTTGCTTAAGATGGTATCTTTGCATTTTTTTTGTCGAATTAAGAACTTTACACAGTCATACAAGGCTGGCCCTGGTATATAAATAAAAGAGGTGAGATGATAACTGGGTTCATAACTTTCTAAGATAAATCAGGATTAGGATAAATCCTGCCTCACAGTCACAGTACAGAAGTGGTTTCTCCCCCACTACCTTAGTTTTGATGAGAAATGCCAAATGCCAAGGTGAAGAATATAGAGGAAGCAAGTTTCAGGCTGTTCCATTCTGCCATTGTAATTTCTACAGTTATTCTGACAACAAAATGAAATGGGTCCCGACAAGCAAGAGTGGGTTTTGGTTTTGTGTTTCACACATTGACTTAGTTAAATTACATTACATAATATATTAGTGGAATAAAGCACAGAAGGCTCTCCTTCTGCAGGAGAGAAGAAAGACCGCAGAACTGAGTCTTCAGCCAAATATACCCAACAACTTATTAAAATGCATATTTAAACACTATCTGCAGTTTTGGAGGGTTTGAAAATGGAATTATTGCTCTATTAATATTTATGAACATTAAAGAATCTATTTTTACATTCTAGGTCAAACATAAGGCCCCAGTATGCAGAAACAAGTACACACGACTTTAAAATGTATACCTTCACTCGTGTAACATCCTGCAAAGTCTGCCAGATGCTTTTGAGGTGAGTGTCAAAGGAGCTGAAGTCTAAAAATTATATTACACTTGGGAAAAACATGACATTCAATAAACTCGTCAAATTATCTGATGGATTCTACCTCTTTTTTGAAGCTAGCAAGACTTAAAATCTACAAATAGTTGTATATTTCAGCATTATCATGAACCCAAGTAATATGTTCAAACAGCAAACATAACACTTTCCTCTCTCTGAGTGGTACATTATGCAAAATCAGTGATGTATCATGGGCATTTGTAAAGACGAAGAGGCAGGAGGGATGCTCAGGTCTCTTGATTTTTCTCATATAACCAGAAAATATGTTTTAAGATTATACTGATTTTTTTTAGAAGAAGATTAAACCCACTTTCCAACTGAAAATGCTCTTTCTTCATATTAACTGAAGAGCCATTGGGTGGCAAATATGAGATTATTTTTACAAAGTATGTACATTCATCTAGGATACATCATGTGCATGTGGGGACATGAGATAATACAAAAAAACAAAACCGGAGTCCCTACTATTTTAATTAAGATGTGTAATGAATGAATTCCTGGGATTTTGAAAAAAAATAGCAACATTCTGTAGGATAGTTAGAATTTCAGAATTTAGAAATAATATATTGGGTAACTAGTCAGTGTCATCAACTTCATTTTTTTTGTTAAAACAATTAAGGAAAAATGAAAAATTAATATGTGCTGTAGTAAGATTTTTGGTTTGATAGTTTTGAAGTTAGATTTTCATTTTGAGTTTATATATGCTTAATTAAGGGCCATGTGCTGTGCCAAATAGCAATCATACATAGATGTATATGCACATATATGAATTTATTTATCTTCCCAACAATTCTGTAGCCGAAGACCAAGTCCTAAATGAATGTAAAGTGTTATTTCCAAACTAATAATAATGAAATGGAGTCATAATTATATCTGCAATTTTCTTTTGCTAATTCTATTCCTAGAATTATACTTTTCTCATTTCAATTAAGTTAGCATTCTGATGGCATACTCATTGAATGAACCATAATCTTTAATTTTAGCTTGTATTTCTCCCAAGTCTTCCAAATACGTTATTTTTTATGGATTTCACTGCAACCAGAAAATAGGTATTATCCTGTCAAATCAATTAGAAGGTTAAGTGTCCATGAAAAGATTTTTGTCACTTAAATATAGTAGATGTTATTTAATTAATTTATTATAAAATCAACAACATGGACTCTTGAAATAAAACCTTTGAAATATTCTTCATGCTGTAAGAAGTGGGATACTCCCAAAAGTCTGAGTAAATTGTTATTGAACAATTTCTTTCCACTTCATTGTCCCTGAAAGATTAAATATATTTATACTGAATATTTATATTGAAATATGTTCTCAGATACTGAAGATAATGTGATAAATGTGATTAAATAAATGGGACGATTTTGTGCTTTTCCTTGGAAAATAGTAATAGGTCTAACACTATTATTTTTTTTTTGTAAAGTGCAATTTCTATTAGTAACATTTGTATTGTTTTCTAAGTTTATTTCTTTTAAACTCATAAATGCTGCTTTTCAAATTGACCTTACATGAAGAATTATTTTCCACTAAGGCCATTGCAAGCCGCCCCCCAAAAAGAGGGGTTATGATACAAATGCTACAAGTTATTCTTCATATACTACAAGCTTTACTTGAGATCAAAATGATTCCAGTAGTTGAATATTTTGTATTAAAAATACAGTACTAATTAAAAAAAACACTCAGCATTTAATTTAACTTAATTCTTCCTTGAGAGAAATATGACTATACCAATCTGGGATTGTGCAGGATAGCGACACTATAGCGACAACATTAAGTGGGTGTTATTAAGCATGATTCCATTTGATAGGAAGAAAAATAGTAAGTTTTGTCCATTATGATTAGACTACTTGAAAAATAGTAAGTTTTGTCCATTATGATTAGACTACTTGAAAAATGTCCTATATTTTCCTACAAAATCTATTCTGTAAAATATAAAGTCCTACAAAAATGATGTCTACAGTGTGCATACAACCCCATGAAGCAATGTATATAATATTATAAACATACATATTATACAGTTGTGTCATGCCAGAATGTAAAGGCACCAGTGCAATAGTCATGAGCTCTGAATATATAGTAGCAATAAACTCCACTAAGCGATGTGCTACATCAACAGCTTCTGCATAGTCATCACATTACAATTTATTGTGATTGCACACCTCTCTCTTGGCATTAAAAGTAACAGAGATATCATCAAGAGTCTGAGGCTGCCACTCCTAAAATCCCAGAGCTTTGTCTCAACACAAATTCCAGGATTTGATCAACACTAAAGCCATATATACTAAGGAGAAAAAAAAAGTTTTGGAATGATCACACTATCATGGATTGTTCACCTTCCAAAAATGTAAGTGCTTAAGTAACCAACATCCATTAGAGTTGTAAAAACAAACTAATGAACAAAGAACATTGCTGGTTATTGGTATTCAGGGATTTATTACTATATAAGCATCTTGAAGTATTTATGAATGCATTCTTGTAAGACACATTGAACTGCTTCATATTTTAATATTTGTTACATTATACCAAATGCCTCTTGATTTCCATGCTATTTTGTATTTCAGGGGAACATTTTATCAAGGCTATTTATGTTCAAAGTGTGGGGCTGGAGTCCACAAAGAATGTTTGGGAAGACTCGACAACTGCAGGGTTAATTTAGTTGGTAAGTCATCTGCATTGTTTGGGATTCTATTTTAATTAGGTCATAAATTTGCCAGATTTAATTAAGACTTAATTTCCCTTAAGTTGTGTTCATTGTATTTTTGTGTTAATATATTTATAAATATAGCTATAATTGCTTTTTGGGAATCAGTACCTTTTGCAATTTACTGTGAAGTAAAAGAGCTGTAAGAACCACTGGAATACTGTAAGGAGCTTTCAAGAGTCATATAATTAGATCTAGGCATCTGATAGAACTTCTTATACTTCTCAAATTACAGCTCCTCATTTCTTGATCTTCTATCCCTTGCTATAAAGCAGTAATACTGAAGAATTTTTGTAGAGGATCATGGTTGCTTAGAGGAATTTATAAATTGGAGAAGGCAACCAGTAATTATAGCTTATAGTTATCATCATAGAGGCAGGTTGGTCTACTGGCTAAGGCAGGGGTCTTCAAACTTGGCCCGTTTATGACTTGTGGACTTCAGCTCCCAGAATTCACAGCCAGGCTGTGAATTCTGGGAGTTGAAGTCTACAAGTCATAAAAGGGCCACGTTTGAAGACCCCTGGGCTAAGGCATCAGGCCAGAAAGCAGGAGACCATGAGTTCTGGTCCCAGCTTGGTGACTTTGGGCCAGTCATAGACTCTCAGCTCAGCCCACCTCACAGGGTTGTTGTTGTAGAGAAATTGGAAGAGGAAGGTGTGTTGATTATGTTCACTTCCATGAGTTATGTATAAAAATAAAGGCAGGATACAAATAAATAAATAGTCACCTACTTCTAAAACACTTGATAGTAGTTTCTAGACATGACAGTGGAAGAGGCAGAGAGCAATTATATCTTTTATGCCTTTCTTTAATCTTCTCAAAAGCATCTGCTTGTCTATTAAAGGAACATAAATGCTGGTTTAGATACTCCACTGTTCACAACCTTATGTGGCGAATATTTGGAATTTTGAGCAAGCTAAATAAAAAATCGGTTTGTACTGGCGAATCTAAAAAGTGTTTCGGGGACGTCGTCCATATGTTTGATTATCTAGTTGAACAGAGGACAAGTATTAAACTAGTAAATTTATCCCGTCAAAAGATTTAAATCTTTTAGTCCAGTCTTCAAAATTTATTTAACCTCTTCTTGTAGGACGTAGAAACTACAACATTATACTATATTTATTCATTAATCCATGAAGTTGTCTGCATGTGATCTTTGCCTCCAGCAGTTGAATAGAAATCGTTTAATTATTTCATCCATGATATGACTTCAGAGAAAATCTGAAAACTTTTGTGACCATTTGGTGAGGCAAATCACAGGACTGTACATTTTAATGTTGTGTAAGGTAAGAAAGGATAAGTGTTAGGAGTGTGCAAAATCTTTCCCAAAATGACAGGTTTTATACCAGTCTGCTTTCTGCATAACTATTTGAGAAAAGGGAGCTATGTCATGCTTCCATAGCTGATCATCCTGTTTGGTAATTGGTTAAGAATACTGAATTATTTTCCAGACTTGTATTGCTGTCTTGCAGAAAATTTAGCAAGCAGCCAGATATTTGCATTTTAGTATTTTAAAATAATTGGTTAATGCTCAAAATATAACTCAGAGATAGTGAAATGCTACAGATATTCTGGTGATGAGACTGAACTAGTCCCCCCTTATTCTCTGCACTTCCTTTCCCCAAACAAAGTAATGCTTTTTAGATGAGTCGAGTGCAGGATCCAGAGTTTGCCAGCTAGCATGGCCACTGCTGAGAATTCTGGGAGTTGAAGTCCACACCTCTGGAGAGTGCTAGAGTCAGCTGTCCTAACATCATCATCATCAGTTGTGGGTGCTCCATCACTGGATGTTTTTAAGAAGAGATTGGACAGCCATTTGTCCAGAATGATATGGGGTCTCCTGTTTGTGCAGGGGTTGGACTAGAAGACCTCCAAGGTCCCTTCCAACTCTGTTATTCTAGTAATTGATATGAAAGGAAGTTGCAAGCTTGCTGTGATTCATGTTTCTCTGCCAAACCTTTAGATGGTGAAAAAGTCTACTAATAATCTAGAAGAAGTATACTATTGTCTAAAGCAGTGTTTCTCAACCTTGACAATTTTAAGGCATGTGGACTTCAACTCCCAGAATTCCACAGCCAGCAATGCTGGCTGTGGAATTCTGGGAATTGAAGTCCACATGCCTTAAAATTGTCAAGGTTGAGAAACACTGGTCTAAAGGACTAATAGAATTGTTTTGATTGACTGCTTATTGGTCCCTCTCCTGAAAAAAGTAACTTGACCTCCTATCAGTGATGATTATTTTATAAATATAAATGACAGAACTGCCTGCAAAGGGGAAGTTAAAAAAAATCTTAATTATCACTGTTTAATCACACCTGTGTTCTGTTTTAGCAAGATAGATTTTGGTTTCCTTCCAGAAAAACATTTATATAAGCACAGAAGTCAGCAGGTCTGAAGACTGTATAGGGTGTGACTGTGAATATTTTTTTAAGTTAATGGAATTAAAATGAATGGCAACACCTGGACACTGAGCATAGCTTAGACCTGATTGCCTAAATTCTACTTTGTTAAAATATAATCTTGTAAAGTCCTTACTATATTAGATCAATAGTAAATGGCAATTAATTTAATTGGAAATTAAATTAATTTACTATTAATTTAATAGTAATTGTGCTAAACAAAACAGGAACTAGCGGTTCTGAGGGAAAATGTTATACCAACCCCTTTGTCTTGTTTTCAAAACACTCAGCAGTTTTGATTTTTAGGGTATTATGCAAAGGTAAATTTGAATTTTTCCAGCAGACGGATGTAACTTCTCGTAATTTACTATGTGTGTGCACATATATTGCATTTAGATTTTACATATTTAGGTGTTTTTTTGTGTTTAGGTTTTACATATTTAGGTATATTTTTAAAACGGAAGTCAGCAGCTTTTTCATGTGGAACCAGACATAAAAATACAATTTGAAAAATGCTATGGATACCAAACAAAGAAAAATTAAAATAAAAAGGAATATATCCAGCATATCATTTCTTTTTAGAGTAAACAACGATATGCAAATTGCAAACATGAAATAGGGAGGTGGTAAGCAAGAGAAATTCAAAGTGTGAGATAAGAAAATAAAGAAAAGGCAACTTAATTAAATCTAACTTACACAAACTCTGTTTGCTCCATCCTTTCACACTCATGCTTCTCAAGCTTAGCAACTTTAAGATGCGTGGACTCCCAGAATTAGCTGGGAAATTCTGGTAGTTGAAGTCCACAGATCTTAAAAGTTCCAAAGGTTGGGAAACACTGTTCCACATCTTTCTATTCTTGAAAACCATCTTTGCTTCCATTGTGTCCCTATGTCAGTTCAGTGTCTTTTGTTCTTTAAAGCAGGGGTCCCCAACCTTGGCCACTTTATGACTTGTGGACTTCAACTCCCAGAATTCCTCAGCCAGCATGGCTGGCTGAGGAATTCTGGTGGTTGAAATCCACAAGTCATAAAGTGGCCAAGGTTGGGGATCCCTGCTTTAAAGAGTCTGTTTTTCAGGATCCTAAGAACTCTATTTGACCATTAATTTGTTAGTCTTCACATCCTCGCTCTTTAACTCTGTGAGACCAAGCCAAGATACTCAGAACCTCACTCTCAACATAATGACAGCCTCATTTGTTTTGCATCCTTTCCTTCTTGATCCTATGTTGTCTTGTTTTACCACATGCCCTTTAGTTTCCCAGCATTCAGTTTATTTTTATATTTCTCCTGATATACCCCTAATTCTCACTTCTGTATAATAAAAGGAGCAAAAGCATATAAAGCCACTTTGACTTCTTTTGACGAACATTCATTTCTCATAACAGACTACAGATAGTCCTTCACTTATGATCATAATGGAACCTGCCCATCATAGCTGTAATTTGTAATAGTCGTAAAAGAAATCAGTCATGTGACCAACTCAGTTTCAAGTCCTTTTCAGTGAATGCTGTGGTTGTTAAATTCAGTCTTGTGACCATGCCACCCTCCCCCGACTATCAGAACTTTGAATCTGGGTCATTAGTAATCCCAAGGTAGTCCATTGTAACTTTGAATGGTTGCTAAGTGACTACCTGTACTAACTTCCCATTATCAGCATTTGTATGAATTCACCTTTCTCCCTCTATTTCCCTGTCTTTATAAAACAAAGTACATAAATTCATCCACTTGCTCTAGTTTTTCCATCTACTTATGCATAATATGTGCACTCCAGTTTGCCAAGGTCTTTGTAAGATGCAATGAGGCTTGTGGATCTGGAAACGAACATATTATGTTAGCAACCATTTACTGACAATCAGTTTGATTCTCAGCAGCATGGGAAAAACCCACTTAGAAATAAAAAAACATGCAAGACTGTTCACTTCCCAAGTTTGATTCTCATATCTTTCTAATCAGAGTATCTCTCTTTGACTATAAATTAATTACATCCAAAATTTTTTAAGAAAGTGATGTCTGTGTGAACCTTGTGTCCATATAGGCTGCATTATGGCTGTGAGCTTGATTGAAATCTTTTGACTCCTAGACGCTCACCTCATCAGCTTATTGCAGACAATTTTTATAATCTGCTCATGAGGAGTAGCTGTCTGGAGTGCAAATGGGCGATCCCACAATCTCACCTTTATCTGGAAAGATTGTGCTAACTAGAATTCACTGCCTGGCTGCTGATCTGTGCCTTTTAATGCCATCCCAACTGCTTCAGGGACATGTAGTCTGCCATAAGTCTTTACTAGAGGCCCTACTGCCTTTCTAACTATTGACATCAAACATTTCAACTGTTTGTGGAGTGGTCTATAGCCAATCTGAGTACAATTGTTTCTGTAATATATATGTACAGCATAGAACTGTTTAGTACTGCATAATATATATTAGACTGTATGTATATTTTAATTCTATAGATATATATATTTTGTTTCATTGACTTGTATTCATAAGAAGATACTGCAGTGAATTTTGTCACATGAAATTCTCTTATTATGATCTTCCTGTAAACAATAAGACCCATTTTTCACACATTAGGGTGGGATGCACCAGCAAGACATTTTGCATAATAGTCTATTTGGGGTTGGTTTTTCAGTTGTGCAGTGGAGAGGAGAAATTCCTGGATAACTGCCTAAAAATAAACAATCCTAACATGTGCATTACAACATCTCTCTTGCCAAATTAGGAGAATCATTTTTCTTTTCATGAGAAGCTATTCAAATAAAATAGAGGGCAAGTCTGCTCATGTCTTGAATTGTATGTAACTTTGAGTGCATATTAAAATGTTCTAATTTGAAATTCGTTGCTCATAAGCCATTTTATGATGCATATATAATTCATCTCTCTCTTGTTTTTGCCCTTATTCTTAAGGTATATGCCTTCTTGTGAAGTAAACCAGTTTTACCATAGTATAATAGTGCTACTGTTTTCTAAAAAAGGAGAGAGCTAGGCACCATTTCATGATTTTTTAAGAGCCTGATTATTTTTATTTGTTAATATTAATTATGATTGTTTGCATTTTGATTTTGTAAGAAATATTTGCAAATGTGAACTTTATATTTTGCTTTGTGGTTCCTCCACCTTTTTAATATTGCATTTCAGAATATATTCATGCAGAACACTGCCTGCTTTGTTTTTTAAAAAAAATCTGCAATATTTTAATTCCAGTAGCTTCCTTTTGATTATCTGTCTATCCACGTAGCTATCAACAGTGACTAGTTCATACATACATATCTATCACATGATTTCCCATCATTCATTGATTCAAAAATTGATGATTCAAAATGAATGTAGTGAACTGGCTCAGATTAAAACAAATAGTGGCTAGGATATAAAAAGCCTTTCTGGATCAGAATTATGACTGGAGGATCTCTGCAATAACTTAAATCTCCTTTATCCCCCATACCAAATCAGGATTCCATTAGAGGAAAACTATAATTTGAGAAGTCAAAGTCACCCTCCCCTTGAATGTTCAAAGCTCATTCAGCTGATTTTTGGATCTAGATTGCTGTTTTTGAAGTTAAAAGAAGAAATATGAAAATTCTTGTTTATAGGACAAGTTTCGTAATGTCTAATTCACATGTGCCAATCTCTTCTTGAATTTACTGTCTAAGTGACTGTCATATATGTATAGATCAGTCCAAAGCTCTTTCAATATTTGGGCTAAGACAGGCTAGGATTCGGTATGCTTCATCTATCAGAGAAATATACACAAAATATATGCACATTGTGTAATGAAAAAGCTCCATACAAGGCTTACATCAATTTAATGTAATAATAATACTACACATGTAATAATATATTCTGGGTGTAGTTTTTTGGAGAGAAGAAACTGCAATTGCTCTATGCTGAAGTCTGGATTCAAATCACTGTATACTTTTAAAACTGGAAAATGTTCATCTCTATAAGTTTCTGCAGACTTCAGAGTGTTTCCAGAGATTTTAGGCAATCTGTTGGTTCAGAAAGCTATGTGTCATGGAGTTAAGCATAAACCCAACACTTTTTTTTATAGCTGTTCAGTGCTGCCTGAGTTGAGCCAATAAAAGTAAACACAGTTGCAAAATAACTAGCTGAGCCTCAGGGTTGCTGGAGCATAAAACAGGTTATCAGCTAGCAAAACAAAGTAGTTCTGTGTATTCTCACTGTATCCCTGAGCTAGGGATTACTGTTGTACAGTGTGAACGTTCTGCCACTGATCATGCCAATTTTTACATTTGTTCCAGAACACGGAACCCTGAAACATGAGGTAAGTGTGCCTTTTTTTGTGATTTGATAGATTATTGGTTGTAGAAATGAACAAAATGCCTCCTTTTTTTTGTATGTGTTTTTTTAGCCCTAACAGAAGGTAAATGTCTTTTTTTTTTTTTTTTTTTTTTTTTTTTACAAAATCTGTATGATTTCTGAAGGNTTTTTTTTTTTTTTTTTTTTTTTTTTTTTACAAAATCTGTATGATTTCTGAAGGAACTTTGTGTTTGGACTCCTTGCATAATCCTAGATTAGAAAGAAAAAGGACCAAACTGTTGAAAATGAAGCACTTTAAGCATTTTAAGTAATTAAATACACAACTCTGTGGTTGAAATGAAAGAATCCTGCATGTTCTTCATCCATTTTGGACCATGCTTTAACAAGTATTGCAGGACTTGCATAATTTTCATTAAGCTTTTTCAACGTACCAGAGATTAACAGAAAATACATAGCAAAAAAACAAACAAACAAAAAACAAAAACAAAGTCTCTAAATTGACAAGTAAGGGCTAGTCCATGATGCAGCAAAAGAATTGTGTGGTGTAAATGTCCAAGATATACTTATATAGAATTTAATGAATGAGTACAATCCTCTGCTATTCTCAATTGGTGTGCAATAAAACAAGCAGCAAAATGCTGATTTTATAAAGCTGTCTAAGACTCGCTTAGCAAATATAAACATGTTGACTGAAATGATCATGGTAAGTGACATTTGTTCAACGAGAAGTTAATTTCAGAACAATGGATCGCTTGGGGAGTTTATGAAAAGCACATAGGGTGGCTATTGTTACAGTGTGTGGGGACTACAGTGTGTTAATTGTGTAGTTTCCTTCTGAATATAGCTCTAAAATATAAGAATCTGAATTAACTTGGAACAATGAAAAGACAAGCGGAACTAGATAACTTAACCATTCATTATTTTTTTAATCTTTAACATGTATAATTTTTGAAGTGTACTTCATTAACTTGTGGAAAGGACTTTGGAATTGGAATGTTAAGTCTTGGTTTCAAAATACGGATCTTTACCAAACAGTTTTTGCCTTAAAGTCTGCAGTGAAGTGGCAACTATTAAGAATTAACCATTAATCTTATGATTTGTAAAAAACAGAAAATTAATAAAATATTTATAAAAAAATTGACCATTCATCTGAGAGCAAATTAAGCTTGTTCATAGAACAATATTTTTCCCTCTTTGGGGGAAATTATTTGTTTGCTTTGCATAATATTCTCTGTGAAGCCATGTTATTCATCAGAGGAAACCACTGATGGACAAGTTCAGCATAGCTGAAATTGCACTAATGATAAAATTGCTGTACAGGTTAACACATTCTGGAGTGGGAATTATCAGAAACTGGAAAGCTTTGAGGGAGTAGCAAATTAATCATTCACCAATTATGAAGGGTAGAGAAGCCTGTGTATATTTGGCACTAGACTATGTGGTTTGCCATCTAGCCATTCAGTATTACAATTGCAAAGTGAATTTCAGGAAATGATGATATCAATGAACCTAAATTGTAACTTACTGATTCCTATTTAGAAGTAATAATTGCTTAGTAAACCGTCTCAGTCTAAGGTTAAGGGCATGAATATAAGACTACTCTGTATTTCTTGGGAAAATATATAATGTCAGATTTAAGAGTCATTCTTAGCAGGGAGAAATTGACTACAATATATTTATAGTATATGCTTGAACTTTCTTTACGACATTTCAAGCATTTGGTAAGGAAATTAAGACTGTTCATTTTTCTTTTTGTTGGAGTGTCCCAGCACCCCATATACTTCTAAGGAAGTGCCCTGGATGGTGACGTCTATGCCAAGCTCCAGAATAGCACACAGTTAATTATGTTTTAGAGAAAGTTTTGTTATTTTTTTTTAAGCAGGTCTAAAAGTTTATTTTAAAAGTGAGTAAAAAAGTGAAGGAAATTAAAGTATGCAGGGTATTTCTTTTTTTAATTCTGTCTCTAAGACAACTAAATGGAGTGACGTCTGGGCCATGAAGTTCCTGAATGAATTTTTTATGCCCAGACCTACTTGGTTTACTAGAAAAAAAAACCAAAGCCCCAACCCTTTAGTTTTAATTGAATTTGATTCACATGTATTGTTAGAAATAAAATTAAATACTAAAATTAAATGCAGTTCATCTGACTATCCAGTAGTAGAAATTAGTTTTGTTCAAAACTTGAAGTTACCTGGGAAGTGTGGAGTTGAATGAAGATAGGGTTTTAAAAGGTGTTTTGGAACATGTTTTTTCTCCCATCCAATCGATTATGAAAGATTTTTCTAATACTGTGTCTTCTCTACAACCTAACTTATGTACCATGCAAATAATAAGGGTCCCCAATTTTGGCAGACCTATAGATTTCTTAAAAATGAAAGATAAATTACTTTTATTATAACTGCATTTTTCAAAAGAACTCTATTCTTTTATGTAGTTAGGCAGACTGTTTCTCTAAATGAAAATGATAGCTTTTGAATCTCAGCTTTTAAGAGGAAGCTGTGTATGTTTTAGGAAATCAAACAGATTTTGAAAGGATCACGGTCATGCAAGTTACCTACATAGAATAATTGATACTTCCTCTATTTTTCATTTATCTTCTTCATAAAAACTATCACATACAGAGGTACGCTGTTTTTTAATATTGTTTTTTCTTCTCTAAATATTACTCTGGGCAAGATATTGCTACTTGCTCATTGTGTCTGTTCTTCCCCATAAAACCAAACATTTTTCATATATTCCTTCCAACTTCCATAC